TACACCCCCCCCCCGGCTCGTGTTCTCTCTCTCAAATAAAATAGATAAAATCTTTTTTAAAAAAGACATAAACTGAATTCTAGAAATAAAATTAACAATGTCTGAGATGAAAAATGGGGATAGAAACTACCAAAATACCTAAAAAAAAAAAAAAGATGAACAGAGCATCAGTGAGCCGTGGGACACCGTCAATCACTGGAGGATAACGTGTGGTTAGAGTCCCAGGGGAAAAGAGAGGAAAGCAGAAAAATACTTGAAGCCATCGGCGCTGACGGTTTCTAAATCTGATGGAAAGTATCAACCCGCGGATGGAAGGAGGGTGGACCAACACCGGGTTTGTATGGAAGAAACACACCAACACACTATCAACATCAGACTGGCTGAGAGCAGTCGTGAGTACCCACAATCGGCTGTGCTGTGGAATTTCATCTTAGAAACGAGGACTAAAATTGAGAAGCGGGAGGAAGTGCGAGCTTACTGGGAAGTCTGAAGACTGCACACCCTCACGGCGGAATGTGTGAGGGGAGAGCCTTCCGTGACCTCCGAACGTACGGCCTTCGCAACTTCCTGGTAAACCCACTGGGGAGACTTGACAAAGACCCGGTGTGGGAACGGGACCCCACGTCCGCTCACAGGGCTGCTCGGCGCGCTGGCGTAGATGCAGTAATGTGCGTTAGCGGCCAGCGCGGAGGCGAAGGCACGACCGGCACTCTCCTCGAGCTCGAGCGCTGGTGAGAAGGCACCCTAACTTGGGGCAGATCGAAGGACCACGGGTAAAGGAGACAACGACACTGCATTTACAGGGCCCCTGCTCCGTACCAGGTGACGGGCTCTCAGGCGCACGGTAATATATTCTGTATCTGCAGACGCTGCCCCCGCCTTCCTGACGAGGACACGGGAACCCAAGGCCGGACCGAGGTAATCCCGTCCACACTGAATTCCGAAGAGGCTGCGGGCGCGCTGGGGGTCAGCCCAGACTGGCCGCCCTGGCTGTCGGTCCACCGTGAGGACAAACGGCTCCTTCTCCCTCGACTCATTTGCATTTCCAGCATCGCCGGAGCCACCGTGGCTCGAACAAGAGGGAAGGAGCAGGGGTGAGAGCCCGTCCCGAGTCCGGAGGACATACGTGGTTCATCTCGCAGTACAGACTAGGTAAGCACAGGCTGCCCAGCGCTAGCGCTGAGGGTCATCCTGAGCAGAGGAGTGCACCTGCCGCCGGCTGCCGTGCAGCAGCAGTCTGTCCAGGAAGACGGAAGTGACGTGTAAAAACGGGAAGGAAAGAGATAAAACGGCAAAGGCCGTGATGAAAGAGAGACTCTGAGGACGGCACAGGTGAGACCTGCTCTGTTCTTTGTCCCGGTGCTGAAAGCGGCAGGTGTCCGGGCACCCGCGGCCGCTCGTACTCGCGGAAATGGCGTCGTGGATCAGCTGCCGCAGCCGCACAAAGCCTCTTCCCTGACCCCGTCACATGAAGGGACGCCACGGGGGACAAAACTCTCACGCCACCAGCATCCTTTGGGGGGAGAGTGGGTCTGCACAGAGAGACGAAGGGCAGCAAGGTACCAGGACTCTCCCTTCAGCTCCTGGGGTTCACCCTTCATGGTCTCTTGTTTGTGGGGACCACTCATTTCTTCACTTCGGGGTGGCAGCCCTGGCCTGATGCCCTACATTCCCTTCTGCAGCCCGTCCGCCAGAGCAAGACCCAGAGCTGCCACAGAGGGCGTGTGCGGTCCACTGACCCCAGGGAGGAGCAGAGAAAAGGCTTTAGGTCAGAACGAGGGTCCTGCCGTCGGTCCAGCCCCAGATGGCCCCGCACGGTGGACGCTCCGTGATGCGGAAGGTGTCGAGACCAGAGGTTCCTCCACACTGGTATTCAAAGGGCCTCCCCGGTGCGAAGTGTCTAGGGTTTCCCGCCGGTGTGACCGTCTCCCACGCACAGCACCTCCCAGCTCCACTCAAGACCTCCCAGGTCTTCCTCACATCCATTGCGGCCCGGGGACTCCCCGGACACTCCCTGACTTGGGACCGGAATGTGGATTATAGGCCCCCTTCCTGTGCCCCCCGCAGTCCAGTTTAAAGAGCGCCCCACAAAGCCAGCAGATCAAGGGTATAGACACACTCTGCTCCCTTCCTGGTGATCTCTGGGGTCGTCTGCCCAGGAGCCGGCCCAGACCTTACCCATCTGACGCATAACCAACCTCCCCCTATGCAGAAGGCCTCAAACGGTCAATCCCAATGCCAGCCCTCACACGTCCACACCGGCCCTCCCGCCCACAGCCTCAGACCACAGGGCCTTCTTCCTAAAGCCAGCCCTGCCTTCCCCACCTGAGTCTATCCGTTCCCACCGCAAGCGAGACGAAATCGAAGTTTGTTATTAAATACTGTGTGAAGGGGCCTGGATGGCAGTCGGGAGCATCTGTGGGGCTGCTGGATGAAGTCCACCCCAGGATGCGGAAAACGGACACCCGAGCCTCTGGACATGAGTTGGCTGCATGCCCGGCACCCCGACCCCACTGCTCCCCGGGACCCCCACGGGCCGGGGCCTCACTCGGTGGGGCTCCTACCTCATGGTCCGAGGCAAGGTGGTGGCCAGGCGCAGAAGGTGGCTCTGGAGACGTGGCGGGTGCCAGGGGTGAGTCTGGTCCACACTGCCTGCAAAGCGTGTTACAAACAAGGACACATGAGCATTCTGTCCACACCACAGAGGAGGCTGGAGACGAGGATGTGGGAGGGGCCCGAGGTTCATGGACAGGCTTCACCTGCCCGCCGGCCGCCCCCAGCCCTCCTCCCCTCTCAGAGCTCCAGGCACCTTTTGGGGGTGCTGCCCGCAACTGGATTGCTCAAGGCCCCAGCAGTCTCCTAGTGCTTAGACCCACCCCCTCTGTTCTGGGGGCCCCCCGGGGTCGGTGCACAGGTGCTAACACATTCGCGGGCAGTCAGCAAGTGCTGGGTGACTGGGGCTCCTCCCTGGGGTCATCACCAGAGGCTCGGGCTCCCTCCACTGTCAGGGACACCCCGAGGCAGGTCGTTTGGACAGTTTCATCCCCAAAGCTGAGGCCCCCGGATGAGGGAGTAGTGATGGCGGCTTTCTGGGTTAATGTTTTTCAAAGGTCAAAGTTGGCTTTCGGGGGCAAGGTAAAGGACTACAGAGGGGTCCAAGGATGGGTTTCAGGTGGCCCGTGAGTCCCCTGAGGTCCTGTGCACATTCTTCTAGGCAGAGCCTTCCTGAGTCTCAAGGATCCCTGACCTCGCAAGCTTAGGGCCCTGCCTTAGATCAGGAGTCACCTAGAAGAACACATAATGAGTCTGACGGTAGTAACAACTCAAACACTAGCCCCGAAATCTCAGTAGTAAGGGGATTTTTTAAAAAAAAGTTGGACCATCCAGATGATCCAGAATATTACCTTGTTAATCATGAAAAACGTGGATGTGTATAGAGATCACTTATGATCGATGAACGAAATCGGTAACATGGGCCCCGTTGTGAACGATAAAGGATCGCAGCGGCCCAGGGGGGGGGGTGCCCCTCAGGGACGGGGACGACACTGGCCTAGGAGGTCACACGAAGACACAGTGGAACAACGTATTTGGGGATAATAAACATCAGGAAGGCGTCAAGTGAGTAAAATTGTAAGGACACACAATTTACCAAACGTGTCAGGACACCATTAAAACGGAAAAGATGAGAATGTGTACCAATGGAGCTAAAAATTCTCAAAAGTTATTTCTGGGCATTTGGGGAGGTCTTTGAGATTGTGAAGCCTGGTTTTCAAAGCTCCAACACTAAGAAAATTCATGTTTTACTTCCTCGATGGGACTCCTACCTGCATGAACGTACGATTATCACTCACGGTAACAGGGCAGATTTCGAGTCCCAAGTCGGCGGAGAGGAGGGGAGGCCGGCAGGAGGGGAAGGTCCCAGTCTCCCTGAGATAAGTGGGTGCGAGGCGGACAAGGGCAGGGAGCGAAGTTACGGGCTGTGCGCATAGCGTGTGCGTCAAGGTGGAGAGACGCGTTCACCAGAATTCCTCCTGGGAAACACGGACTCTTCTTGGGATGAGAGGAGACCTCCCCTCTTTACGCATACGCTCAAGTACAACAACGAAAGTGGGTCACTGTTGCCTTCCCATGTTCCAGGGAGTGGGCTGCTGATGGAGGGCCTCTTCTCCTTCCGAGCAGCGGCCACAGCCCTGGTGGGGCCGGTGCGGAGGGACCGGGCATTGCTGAGGTGGCTGAACCTGAGGTGGGGGGCGCGGGGAGAGAGCAAAACCAGCCGTGGTTTGGCCAACAAAGGACGTCTGAGGACGTACAGCGTGCATGCCCTTCTCCCCTGGACCCGGCACCTGGGCGCACGTGGAAGCGGGCTCTTGGGCGTGAGCTTAAGCAGGGGCTGAGTTCTCTGTCGGGACCAGGGGTGAGTGTGGACATCAAACACGTGAACACAGGACCAGGAGTTGGAGGGACGGGTGCCATCCAGGCTTCACAGGACAGAGACACGGTTGGGGAGCATTTTTCGGCTTGAACCTGAGCAGCAAGTAAGAGAGCACGCTGCACCTGTCATCCCCATAAGGACGAGGGAAGTCGGAGAATCCCTCCCGCTTGGGGCCGGACCGCCAGACACCAGAGGAGGGACGGAGGATGGGGGGCTGTGCGGCGTGCTGTTCACTCATACGGCCCTTTTCTCAAGCGAAGGGTCTGAGCTGGGGGAGCACACTGGGGCTCAGAGTAAACCCACTTAATGGGTTTTGGCTGTGAGTGGTTGTTTCCAAGGACATGATTTAAATCTATGACATTCAAATCCACGTAGTAAAGACACCAACGTGCACAGGGTTTCACACACAGAGGCCGCGAGCCTGCCCGTCCACAGCACAGCACGGGGCCCAGGAGCTCGGACAAGCCCCCTAACGTCCCCCCGGCTCCTGGTCGTCGACATCGGCGCAGGGGCACCCACATCCACCCCATCGGCCGATGCGCAACGGTGTGAATTAAAGATCATTCAATGAACACGGGAAACAGGTGGATTTTATGGTACCCACGTGGTACCCACTCCAGCCGCTTACAGGAGACCCACATCAGAGACGCTGTGAAAATAAGCACAGAGAGTGTCTGGCGCTGGGCCCGGCACAGCGAAAACTCGGGAAACACTAGGGGTTAGTAATCACGTCACAAAGAAGAGATTAAACAACAGAGCACCGAGGATGTGTCATGTTAGATCTAAGAAGTCCACAACCGCAGGGCTGGTCGGACCCTGGAGCTCACGGAGTTCATGCCCCTCCTCTCAGGGTGAGCGCCGTCAGGGGCCGAGCGCGAGGAGCAGCGCCAGCCTGCTGGGGCCAGCCGCCTCCCGGTGCCCCACACATTTGGACGCGTGGACGCCCGAGGAGAACACAGAGCGTTCGTGGGCAGGAGGCGAGGGGGCTGCTGGGCCGTGGGCGAGCGAGAGCAGGTGCCACGGCGGAGGGCTCCGGGGTGTGGGGCGAGGCCCAGCGAGGGCCCAGGTGCCTGCTGACGGTGAGGCTGCACAGTCCCTCTGCTACCTGCTGACACACGACCCAGCAGGACGTCCATCCGTCCATCCGCACAGCCCCCCGCGGGGCACAGCTGCCCATGGGCTGCTCTGTGCACCCACCCCACCCCCACCTGACCCACCAGCCCCTCGGGACGCTCAGGGCCTCGCTTGCCATCCTGGAAGCGGCCTGTTGTCTCCTCCGTCCTGCACCCTCTGAGGGGGGACGAGGAGGCCTCACGGGAGGGGGTCCCCAAGCTTCCCGGCTTCAGCAATTGTCTAAGGAACCTTGGTATCACGTCTGCAAGACGTCGAAGCTAGGAGAAGCTCGATCAGGGTCCCGGTGCGACTCCGTGGCCGGGAAGACGGAGTGTGTCCTCCGCCACGGCTTCCTAACCTTCCAAGAGTCAGCGCTGTCACCCGTGGGAGGTGGCGGGTCTCCACGGTTCCCGAGAAGTAACGAGCCGGGCTACGTGGCCGGTGCAGATCCCGGAAGTGATGGGATCCACTCGGGGAGGGCGGACGAAGTGCGAAAGGGGACAGAGGGAACATGAAGGCCTCCAACAGCTTCTCCGATTTAACTCGGGATCCTGAAACTCCTCCGTGAACTGTTCACAAGAGCGTCCCCTCGTTTTCGGCCGCTGCGTTGGAAGTCGGCGGGAGGACGTGTGCCCCCTCGTGGGGTCCGCAGGCCTGGGCGCAGCAGGCCGGGCCGGGGCACGTCCAGGGCCATCACTGCGCGCAGTGGGCGCTCTGGTGTCGGAGCAGGTGGGAGCTCCTGCTAAAGGTCTTCCGGCACTCCTGGCACTCATAGGGCCTCTCGCCCGTGTGCGTCCTCTGGTGGAGAACAAGCTGGGAATGCTGGCCGAAGGCTTTCCCGCACTCGGTGCACTCGTACGGCTTCTCCCCGACGTGCGTCTTCTGGTGGAGCAGCAGCTCTGAGCTGCCCCAGAAGGTTCTCGCACACTCGCTGCACTGGTGAGGCTTGTCCCCCGTGTGAACCCTCTGGTGGACCGTGAGGTGGGAGGCCCGCCTGAAGGCCTTCCCGCACTCAAAGCACTCGTAGGGCCTCTCGCCGGTGTGGATCCGCTCATGCCTCAGGAGCTCCGAGTTGCCCCGGAAGGCCTTCCCGCACTCCTTGCACGCGTAGGGCTTCTCGCCGGTGTGGATCCGGGTGTGCCTGATGACCTCCGAGTTCTGGCCGAACGTCTTCCCGCACTCAGCGCACTCGTACGGCTTGTCCCCCGTGTGGGTCCTCTGGTGGCGGATCAGCTCCGAGCTCTGGCCGAAGCCCCTCCCGCACTCGCTGCACAGGTAGGGCTTCTCGCCGGTGTGGATCTTCTGGTGCCGGATGAGGCCCGAGCTGTGCTTGAAGGCTTTGCCGCACTCGCTGCACCCGTGGTAGCGCTCCTCCGTGTGGATGCGCTGGTGCTGGATGAGCTGCGAGCTGACCCGGAAGCTCCTCCCGCACTCGTTGCACTCGTACGGCTTCTCGCCGGTGTGGATCCTCTGGTGCAGAATGAGCGCCGAATTCTGGCTGAAGGCCTTGCCACACTCCTCACACTTGTACGGCCGCTCCCCGGTGTGGATCCTGTGATGGTGGATAAGGTGTGAGCTCTGGATGAAGGCCTTGCCACACTCACTGCAGGCGAAGGGCTTCTCCCCGGCGTGGATCCTCAGATGTCTCCGCAGGCTGGAGTTGGTCCCGAACGTCTTCCCGCACTCTTTGCACTCGAAGGGCTTCTCTCCGCTGTGGACCCGCAGATGCTGGATGAGGTGCGAGTTCTGATTAAAGGCCTTCCCGCACTCTTTGCACGCATGAGGCTTTTCTCCCACAGGACTCCTCCGGGCCTTGTGAGACCCTGAGTTCTCCGCGGGGCTGTGGCGGGAGGCGGGGCTGTGGCGGGAGGCGGGGCTGTGGCGGGAGGCGGCGCAGGCGCGGACGGCCGTGGCTGCGGGCTCAGCCTGAGACGGGGGCGGGAGCGGGCCAGGGCTGCAGACGCACTCGCTCTCGTCGCTGTCCCCGGACTTCTCGCCCGACGGTGACCTCTTACAGGCGATCAGCCCCGACACCAGGGCTCTCCCCCGAGGAGACACCTGCTCCGCGCTCTCGTCCAAGGACGCTCTCAAGTGCCTCTCCACCGCGTCTTCTGCCCGGGCGCCTCCAAACTCCCGGCCCTGGCAAACCACCTTGGGAAGTTTCTCTGACGCTGCCACACGTGGCTCAGGGTCTTCAGAAACTTCTTCCTTGGGGATTACCTCCACGTGCTCAGTCCCCATCTCACAATCTGAAATGAGAGAGGGCAGGCGCGTGAAGTGGCTACAGCACACGTGACCGACGCGAAAGCTAGGGCGGCTGCAGCAGTCCGACCGCGCCCCAGAGCAGCCCTGGGGTCTGGTGAGAGGACGGGACGCTGCTCAAGAAAGGGGCCTGGGGGGACGGTGGGCACGCCAGACAGACAGCGGCCCCCGACTGAGAAGCGCGACACGAATCATCAGAGGGAGAGATTTCAGGAGAGAGACGCTCACGAAAGCTCCGTAACTCTAGCGGTGAGCTGGCGGGGGACCTGGGCTTGGCAAGGAAAGTGGGAACAGAGGGTCCACCACGGAAAGGCTGGGAGAAGCAGCAAAGACAGCACGCCGATCACGAGAGAGAGGGACCCTCCCCGGTGCAGCCCCGTGGCGCTCACCGGGATACAGGTCGGGGCCGTACCCGCTGACCGTCCAGAGGGTCCCACGGCTGGGCCAGAACCAGACCCACAAGAGAAGTCAGTCCTCTTGGCTCCCTTCCATCTGGACGAAGTTGTTCTAGCTTCATTTCCTCCAGATGGCCGGCGAGCCGTACCCGCGCCTGCGCTTCCCTCCCCCACGGACGCAAACGCCGCCCGCACCACAGCCTGATGCTCTGAGTCGGGCTCGGTCTCTAGACTCCCTTCAGTTCCGCTGCCCTGTTCCTGCCCTGGGACCACAGCTTCGGCCCACCGCAGCTGTTTCCTCAGACCTTTACAACGTGAGAGGAAGTTCTTGCTCCGTCTTTTCCAAATACTTCCTGTCTCCATATTTCTCCAAATAAGTTCATCATTTTGTAAAATGTCCAAACGTATCCTGATGCTGCTATATCTGTCACATCTCTGTATGTCTTTCCTCTCAGTGAGCTATTTTCTAAGCAGTTATTCTTTTTATATGTAGCTATGTTAACTACTTTTACAGACTGATTTTATAAACGGCCTCTTTATAGAATTTTCTTAATACTTTTCTTAGATCTTAAAGCCTCTACTCTTTTAAACTTCTAAAAGGCTGTGGCAGAAGTTTCAGTTGTTACCCTATATCCGTTCTTCCACACCTCATCAGCAACAGAATAATGAATTTATTTAGTGTAGCCAGGAACCTGGCTAAAGAAGTACATTCCTCAGCATTCTTTGTGGCTGGGTTTGGCCACATGACCAAACTCTGGCCGGTGAGACAGAAAAATGCAGACGGAAGTGGATGGGATGTCGGGGAAGTCTCCTGAGGGGCGAGGGAATGCCTTCACTCTTTTCCACGCTCGGCCTGGGGCGACGGGTGGCCGGCGGGTGCCAGCTTGGACCGTGAGCACAGCAGTGTCCCCTGCAGACCCTAGGATGGGACCAGAGCTGGAAGGAACCTGGGGCCCTGGCGACTCCATGGAGCTGCCATCCCAGCCCTGGAAGGCCTGCCTCTGGACTTTTTTTTTAAGATTTTATTTATTTATTTGAGAAAGAGACACGAACAGTGGGGGGGGGCACGGGGGGGGCGGGCAGAGGGAGAGGCAGACTCCCCGCTGAGCAGGGAGCCCGATGCGGGACTCGATCCCAGGACCCTGAGACCATGACCTGAGCCGAAGGCAGACGCTCAACCCAGGCCGCCCTGGGCCACCCAGGCGCCCCTGGACTTTTTCATCTAAGAGAGAAATACGCCTTTGCCTTGCCTTGCTTAAGCCATTGTGGTTTTTTTGTCTTGTTTTTAGGAAGCCAAACTTATTCCTAACTGGCACGGTGGCCCTGGGGATTTAGCTACCCCTGTCACAGAAGCAGGGCCAATGCTAGGAGAAGGAGCCTGGCCTCCGTCCAGGGCACTGCAGCCAATCTGAGGAATACGATCCTCAGCTGGTAGAAGTGATCGTTGTTGTCAGGTGACTCTCAGGGCGGAAATAGGCAGCGATGGGCCTTTATGGTTTCTAAGCTAAAGACTGCCACAGTGCATGGCCAGATGAGCGTTTCTGCGGCCACTTTGCAGGCCGAGACGCACCAGGGCAAGGGGCATGAGCTCTGACCAGGGCAACGACAGTAGTCGGAATGAAGAGGCGACAGCTGCAGAAAGAGTTCAGGGGTCAAACTCTGTGAGCCTTGGCTAGAGCTGCCGGGACTGGACTCGGGGAGAGCAGGAGGGCGGGGTCACAGATGGCGCACGGATCTCCCCGTATGCAATCAGATGAGCAGGAGGGCCAGAGGCCGGGGGTACGGGAGCAGCAGCTCGTTCAGGATGCGAGAGGACCCGTCAACTCTGTTTTGTACAAGCAAGTTTCCAGGCATCCATCCAGAGTATCAAGGAATCAGCTAAAATGTCCCAGTCTGAAGCTTATACCAGCCAGGACCAGAGACACAGCCTGCACAGGACACAGCGCAGGTGGTAGGAGGGCCGTGGGAGAGCTGCCGAACACGGGGCCAGACACCCAGAAAGCCAAGGCCAACGTGTAAGCTCTGCCGCTACCTTGCAGCCTTCCCTCCAGATTTTCCTGCCTTTCTCCGCCCCGCTCTCCACCCCGGGAGGCTACGCTCCGCGGCAGACACCCACAGGCCCCCCGGCCTCCGGCTCCGGCCGTGGGGAGCCCCAGCGGGGGACCAGGAGGAGGGGGGAGTCAGGTCGGGGTATTTGCTCCCTTGATTCCTTCCTGTGAGGCTGCCTTGGGCTGGCGGTGTCCCTCCACTGAAGGCCGTTACTCCTCTTGGGGAGTCTGTCCGACCCGATGGTCTCACGCCTCGGGTCTCCTCAGGCCCGGGCTCCTCAACACCAAGCCCACACCTGGGTCATCGGTAATTAGCCTCTTTGCAAGGAAACCTCCCTCAATTACCCTAATTTGAGCGAGCAGCCTCCTGCCTGGACCCTAATGACAGAGGGGTGGGAGGAGGAAGGGAAGCCTGCCGACAAGAGAAGGGATGGTCAGCGACCGAGTCACTGGGGCCACGGCACCCAGAACGACCCAGGGCCCCTGGAAAATGCCTACGGGGACAGTCAGGGGTCACAGGGGGCCTGTGAGAAGTGGAACGAAGTGGAGCCAGGTGGCGGCAGACAGATGAACACATCTGCTGCTTCCAAAGAGTCTGGACGAAAGGTCCACGGATCTTCCCTGACGGGAGCGCCCGCGACATGTTCGTATTAGAAGGCATGGCACCGGCGCAGGAGGAGAGACAGGTTTGGAGAGAAGGAGAGACAGAATCAGTGAGGAAACGAAGACACTCACGGGCAGGAGAGCCTGGGGCGCGTGCGCAGGCGAGAGTGGTGATGTCGGCTGACCTCCACGGACCGAGGTCGCCAGCACTGCCCACCCCCGGACACCTGGAAGGAGCGTGATCTCCTCACAGGATCCGAGTCGCAGAATCTCTGCTGCTCCCCTAAAAAACCCTGCAATCTTCAACTCGCCCCTACAGCCTGGGCTCTGACCGTCCCACGGAATAAGGGCAGGCCCCCAAAAGCTGGATTTCTCCTTTTTATTGAAATTTTCGCAAATTACAGATAAGTAAGGATCCACAGCGGGGGATCAGCTACGCTCTTCGTTTGTGGTGCCGTCGGAGCTGGGAAGTGCAGCCTTAAATAAACGTCTCGCTATAACATTCGCCCACGCACCAGTCCCACAGCTGCTACTTTTCGCCCCGTGTACCCCCTCTCCGGTCCCCTTCGCACCCCACATCGCTCCTACAGCTTGCCTACCGTCGGCGCCTCACCAAGTAGGAATTCACAGAACCGCACGGAAGCGCACTCGTCCATGGCACAACGGGGCCAGCGTATCTGCCCCCAGCTTCAAGATCCGGTTCAAACTTCAAATCCAAAAAGTCTCCCCCAACGAAACGTGACCTCCCCTGGCCTTCCTTCCACTTGCCTTCTGCCAGTGACACGACAGGAATGTCATTTTTGTGGAATAATATTGCTGTATTCCTCTCTGGAAGCCCCTCACGTGCCAGCCAGAGCTGACATCCATTGGGCTAACTTTCCCAGCGGCGCAGGCACATGTCAGGCCTCAGGCTCATGGGGAAACACTCCACTCCTCACAGCCTGGGTCTGGCGGCGGAAGAATGAAGGAGTGAGGGACTTGAGGATGTCAGCCAGGGCGCAGTGGAGATGGGATGGCAGAACCGCAGACAAATGGAGTGGGGACGGGAGGGAGGCGTGGGGCACGACCAGATGGAGGTTAGAGAGGGCGGGGAATGTGGTGAGCACATGGAGTCTCGGGGCAGGGATCCCGGAACGTGGCCCCAAGGTTTCATTCTGAAATGCCAAAATTCACAATACACTCAAAATATCCTCTGCAACTCTTCAAATTTATGGTGAAACATTCTGGAAGTCGACTTACGCGTAGCTATGGGGATACAAAGCTTCTCAAATCATTTTACAGAGCATTTGAGCAAAGAAGTGGGCAGGGGCCTTGCAGGCTCTGCAGGAGAAAGCCAGCTTGAGCTGCATTATGTTACTTCCAGACACAAAAGCATCTTAACGGATATCCTTTCCCGTAACTTGTGAAAGGCCAGATCCTACCAAATGTGCAGCATCCTGTACAAGTACGAGGATCTCCTCCTCCCCAGGGTGTGCGCTCACAGGCAGAGAGGAGGCCCTCGGCTGGTGCTCCGAACTGCACTTCACTCCCCTCTGCTTCTGTCCCCGAATTGTCATCATGCCGCTTCCTGTTAACGGTCCCCACAACGCCTACAGAATACAAACTTCTCAAGGCGGCTCACGGTGCCCTCCTGGCCCGTCCCCTGTGCCCATTTCCTGGCCCACGCTCTCCCCTGAGCGCTGGAAGCTGCAGTCATGCCCAGGGAGGGTCCTGCAGTCCAAACACTGGCTACTCCTTCCAGCGTCTTGGCCTTTGGAACAGGTTATCCCCATTTCCTAGACTACCACCGCCCAGTCTGTGCGCTTCCCAAACATCCCCCGGACTGGGCTCAGGCACACACAGCCCCCTCCTCTTTCTTCCCTGCCCCCGAGGCCCCTTCACCTCCCGGCAGGCACTCCAGGGTACCGTCCGTGCACCCCGGTACGCCCCCCACCCCGGGGCCTGGCGCATTCCGGGCCCCGGATAAACACCGCTTACGTCAGTCTGTCCAAATGCGTTCTCTACACCACGAGTCCGCGGCACCCTTGAGGACTAACCGGATATTTCATTGGTTTTCGGACCCGAGGAGCCGGTGCCCGGCACGCCGCGATGCAAACCGGCAGGACTGGTCGTTTCAGGCGCCGTCTCCCGGCTCGCCCCGGTCCTCCCCGCCGCTGCCCCCGCCAGGACGGCTCCACGACCTCCGCGCTCAGGGCGGGCTCCCGTCCGTAACCCAACCCCCCCAGCAGCCAGTGTCCGGGGCGCCGAGCCGCGCTGGGGCGGTGACACCACCCGCCCTCGCGTCCCCGCCGCCCGCTCGGGGCTGGGGTGTCGGGAGGCCAGGAGCGCGCCCCGCGCGGGGACGCCCCTCCCGGGGCAGGTGGGGAGATGGAGGCGGGGTGGGGGGGGCGCAGAAGTCCAAGGTCACACGGCCGGCTCGGTGCGCGCGCTCGGCCCGCGGGCCGCAGCAGCCTCGGAGCCCGGCCCCCGCCCCGCCGCGCCGCGCCGCGCCGGG